AAAAAAATTAAAAAAAAGTGACATGCTAAGAGAAACTTTTACCTACTCGGTTCAGGAGCGAAACCGATTGTGTAATAAGTCGTGACAGTCCAAACAGTCGCCTCAATCACAGATATCGGTACCCGCAGCAGAAAACTCGGAAGAGTGAAAGCCCATGCCGAGTGGAAAAGAAGGTCTCGATGTTTGTAAAAAACAGGAAGCCTTTTCATCGTGAGCGAAAGCTCTAGAATGCCGTTAAAGGTATTGCACGTCATGCTGAATAAAAGCGCGCCTACGTATAAAGCACTGTCCTGCTCGTTTCCAGCGTGCATACGGGTCCTCAAGAACAAAGTTGCCGCAACTAAAGCAACTACGAATATTTGGACAGTCTTGAAAATGTAGACGAAAGAGTTTCGTCTGATCAAAAGCCATTCCTTGTCAAGGTTGGCCTTGAAAAGGTCCCATTTGGGGAGAGAGTTTTTTTCGAACACGAGAGCCGCCGAGTGGCTTGCTGACTTGTCGTAAGGGATGGATAGCTCGTTTTCGAGACGTTGGCCGACGTGGAAAACTTTGAACCGGGTCGCAAACTCGGCTACCGAAATGTAGTCGTACGGTTTGCTCTTGTCGGCCCAGTATTGCTCCTGATCTTTTCTTGATGTCACCTATTAGAGTATTTTCGGACCACTTAATGGATATTGAACCGTCTAAAAGCATCGGTTATTGTGTTTAAAGCAATAACTTACCTCCTGTAAGAAATCGGCAACTCCTTTTCTTTCGGGGCATTTGAAACCACAGCTCTCGAAGAATTCAACGATGTGCTCTTTTGGTCCTTGATAGACAATTTGTCCTTCGGACAAGAGAACAACATCGTCAAAAAGACTGAACGTCTCGGGAGATGGTTGGAGAAGGGACATGAAAATAGTGGTCTCAGTTAAATGTGCGATTTGCTGCAAACACTTGACGATCTGAAATGTCGTGGAGCTGTCGAGCCCGGTCGATATCTCGTCCATGAAGAGTGTCGATTTTGGTCCAACCATCATCTCACCTGTATTGAAAGAAGTTAGGTAAATATGACAATATACATCCAAACATAAAATGGTTTAAAATTTTCAAATTTATATAAAGAAAATACCTGTGGTAACACGCTTCTTTTCGCCTCCCGATATACCTCTTGACATCTCATCTCCAACGACAGTATCTCTACAGCCGTCAAGTCCTAATATCTGCACAACGAAGAAATACATTACTAATGAAAATCATTAAAAACAATCATTTGTTTATATAATTCTCTTAAGTAAGAATAATAAAAACAACTGCTTATACCTTGAGAGTGTAGTCTGTAATAAGACTGGTCTTTTGTCCTTCCACAGAAGTTGCCTGTCGGGAAACAAGACGACTGCATTAGCTAATATTTTACACGTTCGACTTGATGATTTGGTTTGTTTTTCCGTTACCTTCATGAAAAGATCAACTTCGGCCTCTGGCAAAATGTCTGCTTCTCGTTCCCTTCTTGCAAGCTCGGTCAAGAGATCTATTTGATATGCAATACAATTACCAAATGCTTCATAACTACGAATAGATATTCATAACAATAAATAAACACTTCTTGGAGTACAAACTTTGCCAATACTCGTGTTTTATTTGCTCGTCAATGTTGCTTATTCGTTCATATCTTATTTATCAATTATACCAAATGTGATATTAACATGTGAAAACATTACAAAAACATTTTATCTTGAATGTAACCAAGTATAAACATACCGTAACGCCATCCAACGCCTTGGCATCTTGCCGAGAAATCGAGAGTCTCTTGAACAGTCATTTCTCCCACATGAACATCGTTTTGGCTCACATACGCAGATGTTCTCTGCGGCACAAATTCATCTAGCATATGTCCATTGTATGTGATTTTTCTCATTCTCTATTTCCAACCAATTCAAAAACAACATCAAAATGTTTCAACACTCGAGCAAAATTAAGGTTTTGCTCACATTTTATTACCAAAAACACGATCATTATCAAGTTATTGCAAAATCGAACCTTTAGAGTATTGTCTAGTCTTCCCGAGAGAGCCAACATAAGTGTCGTCTTCCCTGAAGATGGTGGTCCAAGTAGAAGGGTCATCCTATCACGAGCCACAACTCGAATCGTAAAGTACTAAACAAATGCTAACAATCGAAAATTCAAATCCAAACATTATATAGCCCAAAAACTTTCGAAACAAAGTTTTTGACGAAAAAAATTACCGAGAGGGCTTCACAATGCCCGACACGTCTTTTAGTATCGTGACTCGGGTTTTCCGAGCTACTCCTTTTAAACCGAGACAACTCAATAGCTTTTCCGCAAGGTCGCAAACGGCATTAGGCAGAGTCGGAAGAGCCCTTCCCTTGTCCACAAACGAGTCCGCCTCTACGTTCAAATGCTCGAATCTAACCTCTACTTGAGGCAGGTTTATTCCAACTCTGTAAAATTCGTAAGTAATCAACAACCAAAAACAGAACAAAAAACAGAACACACAAAAAACAGAACAAAAAAAAAAAAA